ATTCAGTTGAAGAAAGTGGATGAAGGTGTTGGTAAGTCTCCACCGCCTGTTTTAGTCCTTCATGGGCATTATGGTGGCTGTGTCGGGGATCTGGCAAGCTATGATGCTTTCACACTTGGGGGACCATATTCAGTACGGGGATACAACATGGGAGAGATTGGTGCTGCAAGGAATATACTTGAGGTACTTATATGCTAATGAATAAGGAAAATTTTACTCTCTCTCTCTCTCTCTCTCTCTCTCTTGCCATGTTTCATCAATAGTTGATACTATTGCTGTATGCCTATATCAATTGAAAAATTGAAGATTGAAAATGAACACTATCACAACCTCCTTGGACCTGTATGTAGGTAAGTGGAAACTATCAATCCAAGACTTAAAGAATAATGACCGTCCATTAAAAATTCTTCATTTAATTTTATTTTACATACAACTCTTGATTTCCACAGAAAATCAATATACAAATAATTAAATAAAAAAACAAAACTCATGATTTTCAGTCTTAGATTTTATAATCATTCATTAAAAACTCTTGATTTTCAGTCTTACAAAACTTAAAGAATAATGACCGTCCATTAAAAATTCTTCATTTAATTTTATTTTACATACAACTCTTGATTTCCACAGAAAATCAATATACAAATAATTAAATAAAAAAACAAAACTCATGATTTTCAGTCTTAGATTTTATAATCATTCAGGCAACCTATCTTTTTTGGGTCCAAGATTGATTGATATGATAACCTATATCTTTGGGATCTTGAACTGTCCTGTGTATGATTGAATGTAAACTCCAGGTTGCTGCCGAGCTCCGGGTCCCTGTGAAAGGCACGCACATTTATGCATTTGCTGAACACGGAAATGATCTTGGCAGTTCAAAGGATGTTAAAGGGAACCCCACAGCGGTTTACAGGCGAGTGGGCCATGGTTCCTCATATGGTGTTGGAATCAAGCTAGGTCTGGTACGTGCCGAATACGCAGTCGACCACAACTCTGGCACTGGTACCACATTCTTCAGGTTTGGTGAGAGGTTTTGAGGAGGATGTGGGTTCTCATAATGCAAGTGGTCAAACCACAAACTTCCAACGATCTAATGGATCTCCTTTTGCAAGCCCGCGTCATTTTGCCCCCTCTATTTATGGTCAATTCGATCTCTTCTTCGGGTAAGTGCAGCTGAGTTTGGGTCATATGTTTTGCAGCAAATGGTCTCTTCTCTAGGTTCCTTGTCTTTAAAACTAGATGTATGAGGGATTGACAAAACATTTGTGTTTTTATTTCCGGTTTCAACGGGTTATGCGAAGAGCTAATGTCCATTGAGGTAATCAAAGTAGGTTGTGGATGTCCATTACATAATTTTCATGTTTTATTAGAAATAAACAAAAGGCAAATTCAGGTGTTGCAAATGGACAAGGGAAGAGCTTGTGTTACAATGTCCCCTACATGTTTAATTACTCCGTAATACTCTGTCTCAAATTAATCTCATTTGTTATTTCACGTAATTTAAAAAATGAAAATTGTTCGGGTGAGATTTATGGAATCAATATGGATCATCAATTTTATTTCTTTTAAGGAATGAGATGTTTATTTTGGGACAACCCAAGAAAAGAAAGAAAGTGGCAAGATTAATTTGGAACGAAGGAAGCATTTAAATTGCTTCTCTAAATACGAGCATAAGTTACTCTATCCAAGATTATTTTCTTGGTTTGACATAACATGATATTAATGAGATAGTAAAAAATTAGGCTTTTTTACATTGAGAAATACTAGTTTCACAAATAAAATAGGCACAAATCTTACAAATTTATTATTTGTGAACTGCAGTAAAAAAATAAAGTTGTCTAAAATAATTTTTAAATGAAAATTTAAAATATAAATGGTAAGTTTGTGAATTTTATGAACATTTTGTTTGTGAATTTAGCATTGCTTTTACATTGGTATCTTGAATGAATAGTTTTAAATCAAGTTGCTAAAAATAGTGTTAAATAAAGTGAATACTAAAAATGAAAAAATGATAATTTCATGATTAAATTATTAAAATTAACCAGTTCGAAAAAAGGAAAACAATCAGTCCCAAAAGAGTGAGCAATTCACGTATTGCATGGGCTTAAGGTTCATGATAAACTTTCATATATTTTAAATAAGTATTTTCCAAGTGTTGAAATAAGGATATTTAAAATAAAAAATGTGAGAAGTTCCATGTGGATCTTAGGTCCACCATCGAACCACTCAAGTGAGTGATAATGCAAAAAAAAAATTAACCTTTTTTTTATTATAACAAAGCCTAAAAGTTGGTGTAACGGATCTCATTCTGTAGTGATATTAATTGTTTTTAATGAAATAAATCGACAAGAATAAATCAATTGTGGAAAGTTAAAAATGAAGAACAAACATAAAAGATGTATCTTGGTTAACCATAACTAGTGACGAATGCAATTCCCTAGTGACTATTTGAAATTGTACTAACCTACCAAGTTTGCAAGTGCTTGAAAAGTCATTTACAGCCAAGACTTAGAACTTTACAAGCTTCAAATCTTTAGGGATACCTCACTCTAAGATACACCACTAAATGAAGAGATACTACATTGTAATAGAATCAATATCATTCAAAAGAAAAAAAAACTACTAGTTCTGCGAGTATTTGGCAAACTGGTATAAGACTATACCACATGATTTATTACTCCCAACAAAATATACTACACATTTATTAACACAAGAGAATAACTTCTTGGCATCTCTCTGAGTACGAATTTATGAAGAAATACAAAGAATGCCCGATGAATAATGCTTTGAACATTCAATACGACTCAACAAAAGCAATAATAGAAGAAAACTATCAAAGGGGTTGAGAGTTCCAAGGAAATAAGAGAAAAGCAACCTCATAAAAATTTAAATTTTAAATTTTAGTTTTTAATGTTAAATTATTAATTTTTTATTCATAAGACTGTTTCTTTTTAATAACCCAGAAAAGAATTGATTTTGACCCATAAAATTCAAATTCTGGATTTCCAATTCTTTTCCCGTGCTATGGAATTCATGATGCGAAATTGGAAGAATTAAAATTAGACTCAATTCCAATTCTACATATTTTTGCGATACCAAACAGAAAAATTGGAATTGGAGCCTAAAATTTGTTTAGCTTTGCATTGACTTAAAATAGTTTATGTATTTTACATAAAGTATGGATTTTAAACCATCTGTTATAATTTTTCAAAATCAGAATTGGATACACCTCCCCATATAAGTATGGAGTATTAAAAGTTTTGGTGAATAGTTTTTTTGGGAAAAAGTTTTGGTCCGTAATATGTAAAAACTAGACTAGAGAATGGTTGTTGGAAGGATAATTTTAATTGTTACGAAGCATTTCTTTATAGGGTTAAGATAGACAAATTTTTTTATGGTCCCTATAAAATATTTTTTTGGTAAAGTCATCCTTCTTACAAAATATTTTATTTTGAAAATGGTCTTTAAATATAATTAACATTTCTAATTACATAAGATAGCACATTTATTTCATGCTAAACATCTTTTTGCAATATTAATAACAAGATTAACAACACCAAAAATATTTCAAGCCCTAAATTTTATATTTATTAATATTCCATCCCTGATTTTTGAATTTCTTAGGAATACAATATAATAAAAATTTGGAAATTGAAGATATAATTTAATAAAGAACACAATTTAGAATATGAAAATTGTGTCTGAAGTAATTAGAAATACAAAACTAAGTTGTTGAGTACGAAATAAATGTGATATGTTTACAAATTAAAAGTCTTAATTGACTATTTTAAAAATAAAAACTTTTGTAAGAATAACTTAAACAAAAACTATTTTACATGGATAAAAAAAAGTCATCAATTTTATTGGGACTAAAAACATATTTAACTTTTCTTTATAATAAGAGATTTTTCGTGTTCAATCTTGTATTATCAAATATCACGTTCGTGATCTTTTATTATAGGTACCATCCCGAAGATGCCTTTTTCAACTTTTTGTTATGTTAGTGTTAAATGGAGGACTAATAATGTAATTTTACATCGACCCTGGTGACGTATTCTGATGTCTGCTTGATAGGTCCACACAACAATAAAGATTATAGTTGTAAGTTAGGACTCTGACAAGAGACAACATATGTAGGCTATTGTTGCAGTAGAGAACGATTTCAATTGACAAACAATGCATCAACAGCGGCTTATGACATTGGCTATGATAAAAAAAATATGATTAGTGTTAAATTATATTTTTAGCCGTTCATTTAATATCAACATGACAAAGAGTAAAAAAGAACTATTCGTAAAAAAGATATATATAAAATAAAAACCGCGGACATAATATTTGATAATAGTAAAAGAATAGATAGGAAAAATCTGTTGTTATAAAACACTAATTATAAAATCTACTCTCACCTTTGAAGATATGGAGTGACTTTTTTCCTATGTACTACGGAGTATTTTTTAGTATAAAATCTATAATGATTGATACAATGAGCTCACATCACCAAAAAAAAATAATCCCAAAGAGCTCACACAAGCATCTAAGTCTTGAGTGCCAAAGAGAGCAATACTGTTTTTTATAACACACTCCACAATCACAATGCTACCCGAGTAACCAGACCCTCTCTTTGAAGCAAATGCAATATCCCAAAATTCTTAGAAAACAATGAAAACCCCAGCAACCTTGTTTTTTTCGAATCAACCCGTGAGCATTTTCGGGTTGGAATCAATACTCGGCGAGGGCGCGAAACCCTATTGGTCCAATTGAGCACCCCCTCTTCCTAATTTTGGAAAATGCACAAAATAGGGCTTGGTACCAACTTAATTGTATAGTAGAATTCCCCAAATATTTAACTGGAATTGGAAGCTTCTTGGAGCAAATGGCTCATTATTAGAGTAGCCTGCCCAAAAGAACCTTATAATCATTCTTTTCTCCTTTGCAGAGTTTTGTTACTTCAAAAATTACAGAGTGTTCTTTAGGAAACATAAGAATGTGAACAAACAGTACAATTGAACCAATAAGTTTCTCTCTAAAGATTAGTATCCAATTCCAACTGGCAATTGTTACAAACTAATCATATTCTATGGAAGAACCAATACATCTATTCTTGAACACAATAGGGGAAACTTAATTTATTGATATACATATTCTTTCCTTTTTTCAGGTAATGAACTGAAACCGCTTAACAAAATCATACTACTTCCAATCATCTACTAAAAATCTGTCCAATTTGACAATTTCAGCATGAGAGAGTATATTATTATTGTGTGTATATACTTAAGAAAATGGCATTAAAAGCTCATACGATGAAAGAACCTAACCTCACTCGTTCTTGAGCCACAGCATTATTAATCTGCAGGAGAAAGATTATGATATGCCCCATATCTGCTCCCTGCCCAACCCCTCTGCTGCATCAGATTGTACTGGTGATGGTGGAAGGCATTTGATGCTCCGCCGTTTGGAATCCCAAAATGCCCATTGTGCCCCTGAGCCGGCATCCCGATCACGGGCATTGGCATCATTTGCACCTGGGGCAGAGCCGGAAATGGAATTGGAATGGGTGGGATTGGGTGGATGCTACCGCCGGAATCCTGTGTGGTTTGAGGCGGCACAGGCGTGGAGGCAAACAGATGATCTGAGGAGGAAGGTCCTTCGTTGGACAATCCTTGCATCCTCTTCAGGTACAGCCTGTATTTCTGCAGATGGCTCGCGACGTTCTCCCGCGTCAGCCCCTCCACGTTCATCAGCTGCATAATCGTCTTCGGAACCGCGTTTTTTATCCCGAGATGCGCCACCACATCCACGAACCTCTTGTGCAGCTGCGGCGTCCACACCAGCCTAGGTCTCTTCTGCGACTTCCCCGACGGATCGTCGCCGGCGCCACTCTCGTTCGGAGTCGGCGAATCGGCCTCCTCCGCTCCCCCTCCGAACTCAATCCTCCTTGCCTTCCTCGATTCGGATCCGTCCCGGCTCGGATCCGTATCGTCGTCCGCGGAGATCTGCTCCCTGTTCCTCTCATCGCTGAGCGGCTTGAGATTCAAATTATTCGGAGATGATGAGAGCGTTTGAGACTGACCTCCCCGGAGAGAAGAAAACGCCGACTGCGATGCGCGATTAACGTCCAGCATAGTTCTACACGGCTCCGGGGGAATCCGAAACGCCGAAGCCAATTCCGGCGGGATCAACGCCTGTGACAGTGGAGTGAGATCATCTGCGCTCGGAAGGCCTTCCTCCCACTCCGCCACCCTGTCCTCATTTCCGCCGCCGTAGTCACCAATTTTCGCTTCTTCGCCCATCGCAGCTTATCAGTTGTATATTTACATAAATTCACTGAGATTCGTGTATGTCTGATTCAAAAAAATTTGCATTCAATCTATCAGAAAATAGAATTCCCTCGTTTTCCGGATAAGGATTCTGGCAGGAATGATAGAAGAGGAAGATATATGATGGAAAGGGAGATATCAGATTTTTGATATCAGATATTTCAAAGATTCTTCAAAGGTAAATTCTCACCATCAGAATTTCAAAAAATATATATAAATAAATTAATCTATAATGATCACATGTTAATTGTGAAATTTCTATTATATTTCTCATAGGTTTATAATTAAATATATTTAATCATTTGATCCACTAAAGTCCATAAAATAAATATAGACTAAAGAATTTGCGTTTAAAAATTGGTGTAATTGATTTTTATGTGGAGGAGAGGTAAATGGTGTTACATCAATGATTTTTTTGAAAAAATTAAATTTATTTTCATGCAAACAAATAAAAGTAGTGAAAGAAATAAGTTTAGAATGGATTATCGATTTAACAATTGAGAATAAATAAGAGTTTAAAAAAATCTAACAACAACGTTTAGCATTAAAGTTTTCATATCATTAAAATTTTATCCAAAATACTAATGCTAATCAAAAACACCATTCCAAAATAAGGCCAAAATTTTTTGTTTCATGACTCATTGAAATCACATTATGACCATATTCTTTTCTCTTAACCATGACTTCTTGAAATCACATTATAATTTTTTTAAAAGCTCAACTAGAAATTGATAATTTGAACTTAATTACTGAAAATTGATAACTGGAACCTCATATTCGAATTTAGAGTCTAGTAATTGAAACCATGAAATTGAGCCTAGATATCTAGAATTAAAAAAAAACAGAAAGAATAGAGCTTAAATCTTGTTTTGTGATTTCTTTGTAGGAAAAAAAACATTTCTATTTTTTTTTTTTTTTGAAAAGATGGAGTAATTTTTAACAAACATATTTCCCAATAATAGTCAAGCAATCAAAGTGAGAGATGACTGAAGATGAGATGATAAAGCTAAGATGAATCACAAGCACCATGCAAGAAAACACTGGTGGGCCTTGAAGAACATAAACATCATCATCTCTCAACATGTTAACAACTAAAGCACATTTATACAGAGTCAACACAGATTATGTAGTAAAGGAAAACCCTAAATTTGCCTTGGTAATATCATTTGTTTTTATACATAAACTCATCCTCTTCTTCTCTTCTGCTCAGTCTTCAGCTCTCTACTTGGGTTCTCTCTATACCAGAACTTCAAACTACACAATGTACACTTCTCTCTATCTAACATGAGCAACAACTTTATTGGCATTCACAGCCCATGAAAGAGAGAGAGAGAGAGAGATAGCGGGAAGGGGAGGGAGCTCAAACTAGCCTCGGGTTAGCTGTACATCGTTACGTGCTCTATATATAAAAGATCTTAAGCCATGTTGGGGACTTGGGCAGCCATTCTCCTTTCTGCATCAAAGTTTGAAGATATAGTCATGAACTTATAACTTGTAATGAAGAAGTGTCAAGTTCTTGAAATGCCCTCCTCGGCATATCTTTTCGGTTGGTTTGATTCAATTGATCAGAGCAAAGGGAAATAGAAAGGTATGAAAACACGTTATGTTTTTGCTTCGATTGAGAAGAGAAAATGGACATAATATCTATGATATACTCCCATACTTATGAACTTTACTCACTTTTTTTGGATGCATGAAAAAAACAATTTATCCCTCTTTTTAGTGTTCACCGAACAAAAAAAGGCGTATTAACCAAACCCAAGAGAATGTTCTACTCATAAGCCATCCAAAAAAAAGATTAAGAGAAGAGGTTTGTGAACGTGTGGATTGAGAAAGAGATGCTCACCGCCAGCAGCAACCAGTTTCTCAACACGGGTAACAATATGCTTCCCGTAAGTGTATTTCTTCAATGCATTCAAGTGGACTTTTATTCGTGAGAGGATCAATTCGCGTTCTTGATCACTGCAAGTTTCCAGAACTTTCTGTACAACGTAATTTGCAAACTGGTCTTTCATCATTGCCTGTGCAAAAAAAGAACAAAGAGACGGACAATATAGCAACACTTGAGCAACCATGACAAAGCAAATGTTGTGAAGCGAAAGGAAATCGACGCAAGACCTGAAGCGGTTCATTTTCATCTGTTGTGCCAAGCATCTCATTCACGAGTAGTTGTCTTTCATTGGGTTCCCCAAAAGTCAAACATTTCTCCACAACATTTGAGGCAAACTTTTGTTGGCTCATTTGAACAATCTTCCCAGCTAATTCCTGGATAATGATGGATCGTTCATGTGGCTCGCCATGCTCCAGCACGTGCTGTTACAATTGTGTTTCATTATAAAAAAATTCAATGTGCATCTAAGAGAACCAAAATAAAGGTAAATTTACAGCGACAAGCAAGAATAAAAAGAGGATGATAAATAACAAAATTACATTTGGCACAAACCAATACTGATATCTCACTGCCATAAAGTACATATGCATCACTCCTTCAGTCCCATGAATCCTCTTTTGAACATTTATTTTTCATTAAAAAAAAAAGAAAACTATTTGATCAAACGATTGTAATTTGAAATAAGGAGAAAAAATTTCGACAAGTTACATGTGAATTTTAGTCAGACCAACAAAACAAAAACATGCTTCTGAAGTCTCACTCAAGAGTAAGGTATCGGGAGGGTGAGATGTTCCCAGGCATTAGTGCATTACTTCTACCATAGGAGTAAAGAGGCTGTTCATGCAAAGGCCTCCAGCTAAAAAAAAAAATTGGAAAGCTTGAGGATAAGTTAAAATTATTATTATTTCTTTGAATAAACAAATATGACCATTTAAAAGGTTGGAATGGAGAGGAATTATTATAACCAACGCAACATATATCCATATCCATATCAATAAACATAACAAAGAAGATAATATTTCAAATACAGGTATAAATTGAGCCTTTTTGTCCAAAATTGTATTTCATGGCTAAAATCAAGAAACAAGACATCGCAAACTACTTAAATAATCATTTATTGATAATTCCATATGAGTTGAAAGGAAACGTGACATAACACACCACAAAATGGAAAATAGAGCTCAAAGCAACAAAGACCTAGAAATACTTGCTCATCATATGGTATCTTCAAAGCAGCATTTGAAACACAAGTTTATAATTCATACCTGGATAACATAATTACCATATTGATCCTGTGCTAATGTGCTAACAGATCCTAAAATCTCTTCCATCAATTTACTTTGGGTTTGTGGGTCCTTGCAGTGTTCTAATACTCGCTGCCAAACAAGAAAAGTTTCACAAAATACGAATATGGCATCTCAGAAGTTGTAAATCTAGTAAGAAATAAATAACAAATTCATTATCCTTCACCTGTATAACGCGACATCCATAAGGATGAGCAGAGAGAGTCACGACTTGCCCAAAAAATGTAGAAATAATAAATTGAATATGTTCTTCCGGTACGCATTCGATACACTTCTGGATGACATGATTCCCATTCTGATCACGCACACACCGCATGACATGATCATCCAGCTCCTCAACCATTTTAATCTTCTGGTCCACATCTACTACTTCTATTGCCTGTTTGGTAATGAAATCCTATTACTTATGTAGCTTGAAAACATACTAAATAGCATGTTTGTTTATTACCAACTTATCCCCATGAACAAAAAAAAACATACATGTTTCAGTTAATATGACAGAGCAAACAATAATTGTAGAAGATTCATGTATTAAATTGCTTAATATTACTCCCTGTGTCCTAAAAAAATTCTCACCTTCCTTTTTGAGTTGTCCTAAAACTTTTGTCTAATTTCCTTTTAAGGAAATACTTTTGTACTTGATATTGTTTCCTTGATCTTATTTCTCATTTCTAAATAAAGTACAGACACAAAATATTATTTTCTTTAAAGAGTGCAGAGCCAAAATGGGAAGAAATGAATAAGACGGGGTATTATTTTAAAAAACATAACCATTAGAGTAAGATGATACACCATATTACTTCATTTACCTTCTGTATCACTCGACAGCCATACATTTGGAGGCTTAATGTCAATACACTCCCAAAAAGCTTGTTAGCTAGTTCTCTCCTCTGAGTTGGCATTCCATGTTCAAAAAACTGAAAAGAGAAATCAATTGCTGAAACTTTAAAGACAGAAGAATGTGTAAATTACATCATACATTACGATGCGCCAAAATCTCCACGTACTCCATAAGACCATGGGAAGAATAGTATATTATACCTTTTGGATTACATAATTACCAAACACATCCGTCATGAGTGTCATTGCATGAGGAATAATTTCCTGAAAAACCATGTTCTTCTCCTCAATTGTGGCAGTCTCTAGTTTTTGTTGAATGAATCTGCTCCCGTACTGATCAGCACTGAGGCATAAATTAAAAAACTATGTTAGACTTGAGACTACCCTAACATGTATATGCATTTTTATACTCAAGCCCTATACCTGAATTCAACTACATGACCTGCAATCTCTGATAGTTCAATACATTTGGTTTTATTTCCCTTGAACTCTTCCAGAAGAGAAAGTGGGTATCCGTTATCCATGTTATCCAAGTTCCAACATCCCATGATACTGGCACTTGAGTTTCTCAATCCTCCAGAGAATCTCAGACCATAATCATTTTGCCTCAAAGGACTACCAGGTCCCATAGGAGAGTTCGGCATTAAAGGGCTTGCCATCGGACTACCAGGATAGGACATATTAAACCCATACGCAGGGCTCCCATAGTATCCATGATTACTTGATCTGCTCTTACTATTCAATGCAATACCATATTGTGATTTCTGTGGAGATGCCATATTATCATCCATGTAAGCTTTTTGAAACAAGTCCATATATGAATTACCCATATAAGTCTGATCCATGGAATGATCATTAAGTGCTGCATACTGAAGCAAGTACTGAGCATACAGTGGATCTACAAACTGTGCCTGCAAAGGAGCAGAGCCAGCACCGATTTGATTTCCTATCCTACCGAGTAGCTGCTCGGAGGTCATTCTTGAGTCCATTCGAGGGACCCCCATAGCAGATGCAGCAGCAGCACTTTCAAATAAGGGTGGAAGATTAACGCTTCCATGATGGCTTGATATTAGATTATCAGATTGACCACTCAAGCCATAACTTGAATATGCACTGTCAAAATTTGGATGATGAGAAGGTACGCAGGCTCCACCATTGAGTTT